TCGTTTCTCCGATCACAAATGCAGACATGGTTTTATGTTTACGCGGCGCGATGCAACGCAACGCGTAAAAAGACAGTAAAAGTCATTATAATCCATAATTATTTCCCCACTGGATGCAACAAATGCCTCGTTTATATTGGGTTTTAATGTTTTTGTCTCGTTGCTCTGGCCGGGACATGGCATCAATAGTATGGTGAGGGGCGTAACATTTCTGTCTCACGCTTGAGGTATTCGGCCAATCACAACGCACTGAATAGCTGGCCAATCACAGCACACCTCGCTTTTCAGACCGATGAGCTTTGTAAAAATCGACGCGTTTCAGAAAGGCGGGGCATAGAGGAGAAACAATAATGTACAGTATGTGGAAAATAATGTGTTTTTTTAACCTTAAACCGCGTAAACACATTTCTTTACACCAAATACACAAAATAATGTTCTTTTTAGCAACATCATATGACCTCTTTAAACTGTAATTTATTTCTGTGATGCGCAGCTGTATTTTCAGCATCATTACTCCAGTCTTCAGTGTCACATGATCCTCAGAAATCATTCTAATATGCTGATTTGCTGCTCGAGAAACATTTCTGATTATTATCAATGTTGAAAACAGTTGTGCTGCACAATATTTTTGTGGAAACTGATACATTTTATTTTTCAGGATTCATAGATGAATAGAAAGTTCAAAAGAACAGCATTTATTTGAAATGGAAAACTTTTGTAACTTTTAATCAATTTAATGCAGCCTTGTTAAATAAAAGTATTAATTTCTTTTTCTTTCTTTCTTTTTTTAATGTCTTTGCTTCCTTAAAAATATTGGGCAGCACAACTGTTTTTAACATTGATAATAATCAGAAATAATTTCTGAAGGATCATGTGACACTGAAGACTGGAGTAATGATGCTGAAAACTCAGCTGCGCATCACAGAAATCAATTGGATGCTCATAAAAAGGTAATTTTTCAAAGTAATTTTTTTCAATTCATTTTTGCTGCATGGTTAAAAATATACGCTATTTTAGTTCCCGTCACTCCACAACAAATAATTTAAACTGAACAATATTTGGAACGGAACAAGAATGAAAAAATTAAATTATAGTGTAACTTTACATATAAAATAAAAACACAAATTATAGTTCCATTCATTATAAACAACATATAAATGTTGTCAAAATTAATTTATTTAAAGTGAAACTAAAACCGTGCTGAGCTCACCTCTCTCATTTCAAATGTCAAATAAATGCAGCCTTGCTGAGCAGAAGAGACTATTGCTGTAAGTATAAAACAACCCTGTGGACTGCTCTGTTTGTCCTCAGCTGAATGAAACGGCGAAGCAGCTGATGGAGATGGACAAACCGTCGGCGAGCGCAGAAGCCGTCAGCTGTAACGGGAACGGCGCGCACACACACGCGGAGGGGAAGAAGAACGCCAAGAAGCGGCACTCGTTCACGGCGCTCAGCATGACGCAGCGCTCGGCTCAGGTGATGGAAAACAACCGGCACTCGATGGAGATCAGCGCACCTGTGCTCATCAGCTCCTCAGACCCCCGCGCCGCCGCTCGCATCGCAGACTGCCCACACCTGTCTTCCAGCGCACCTGCCACACAGGTACAGACACACACACCTGTCTTCCAGCGCACCTGCCACACAGGTACAGACACACACACCTGTCTTCCAGCGCACCTGCCACACAGGTACAGACACACCTGTCCGCTTCACATTCACTCCACAATCTATAGAAACAACGAAAACCATTCACTTTATTGCATTGACACATTTTTCCCCAAATTCTCATGGAAAAGCAAAACAAACAAATAAATACGTAAATAAATACATATTTATATATAATACATAAAAAATATGAATACTATTATTATTCATATAAATTATTATATCTATAGTGTATGTGTGTATATATATATATTACAGTATATATAACTACAGTATAATAGTTTTTGATAATATTTTGCATTTAATTATTATATTTTCCGCTTTCATGTTCGTTTTAGTTCGTTTTAGAAATTATTGTTTTTGTCATTTTTATTAGTTTAGTTTTTATTAAATAAATTTTTATTTCAGTTTTAGTTATTTTAGTACATTAAGTTTAACTAAATGCAAATTAGAAGTGCCTTGTAGTTTTATTTTATTCTTTTATTTTATTCAGTTTAGATTTATTTTATTTCAAATAACATGTTTAATGGTTTTAGTTTTAGTGCATTTAATTATTATATTTTCCGCTTTCATGTTCGTTTTAGTTCGTTTTAGAAATTATTGTTTTTGTCATTTTTATTAGTTTAGTTTTTATTAAATAAATTTTTATTTCAGTTTTAGTTATTTTAGTACATTAAGTTTAACTAAATGCAAATTAGAAGTGCCTTGTAGTTTTATTTTATTCTTTTATTTTATTCAGTTTAGATTTATTTTATTTCAAATAATATGTTTAATGGTTTTAGTTTTAGTTAACTGTAACAACCAGTGCTGTGTGTGTGTGTGTGTGTGTGTGTGTGTGTGTGTGTTTCTGCTCATGATTGGAGTAAATAATGAAAGATTGATTAAAAAGATTTAAAAGGTTGATTAAATTGTTAATATTTGTTATTGATTGTTTAATGTTTTCCATAATAAATTTGTATTAAATACATTTGTATTAAATGTAAATCCAGAAAAAATAAAAAAGACAACACAATTTGTGGAAAATAAACAAACAAATAAATAAATAATCAATCAATCAATCAATCAATCAATCAATCAAGAACAATTAAAATGGGAAAAAAATGAATTATAGGATGAAGTAAAGTGAATTTCATAGGGCCCTAAAATTTAATTTTTTAAAATCTTTTAATAAATTGTTGTTAAATTTTCATGTTTCATGCTTAAAGTGTTTCATGCTAAAAGTTTCATGCTTTTTGATTTCTAAAATTCAATTAAGCAATTAACTGAACTGAAGATACTTTATGATCAAGTGTGTTTGGCTTGCAATGATTTTGAAGTGTTTTATTTGCCCGACGTGAAGCTTACTGAAGATCAGACTAGTTTCATTAATTGTCCTTGTCTCATGACTATGAGAGAGTTCAGATGATTTAATAACAAGATTGGTTCATTTATGTGATTCAGCTCAATCTGTGCATTTCAGTGAGTCAAATCAAATGAATCTGATTCAATGATTCATTCACACCATTACTCAAAAATTATCACTGAAGTCTCTGTGTGTCATTTTATTTATTTATGTAGTACGTTAGTAGATATATCTGTAGGTCAATATTGCTGTTTATGACTATTGTATTGTTATATTGTTACATATCAATACAAATGATTAAATATGATTCTTTCTATGGTTATTATAGTTAACTAAAACTAAATCCATAAAAACATTTGTTACTTGAAAAAAATTTTTTTATATTAACTGGGAAAAGGACGTTGCAATAATTGTGGCTAACATGAACTAGAGAAGCATTTATTTCACAATGAGATTTTCCCCCCACTTTCAATTGTTTTACTTCAGTGATAGGTTAGAATTTTGTGAATTTTTTGAATGAAAGATCAAAAGGATAAACAATGCAGATTTATTTTCACAGCCGCCTTTGCTCATATTTACCAAAGGTGCCAATATTAGTGGGCGGCACTGTAAATGTCAAGTCAAAATGAAATTATAATAATAAAACTACAATAAAAATTTATAAAAACTATATACACAGTAAATAAAAATAAACTAACTCTTGGTTGACCATCAATTTATGATGACGTCACTAAAACGACAGAAACACTACAAAATTACTAAAAATTAAAATTAAAATGGAAGATACAAAAATAAAAAACGAATTGAAAATATTAAAAACAGCTATAACAATATCTCATTGATATTGAAATAACTCAGATTCCTTCTTTATTGAAAAAAGTGTGAAAGCATGCCTTGATTATTTGAACTCAAATTTTGCTGTATTTTTCTTCTTTTATGAAACATTTTTAATCTATTTGACTATTATGACTGACTGATTCAAATCGCATTTTCAGAGTAAATAGAGAGTTATGGAGTTATGTATGTGTATATATATATATATATATATATATATATATATACACATACATAACTCCATAACTCTCTATTTACTCTGAAAATGCGATTTGAATCAGTCAGTCATAATAGTCAAATAGATTAAAAATGTTTCATAAAAGAAGAAAAATACAGCAAAATTTGAGTTCAAATAATCAAGGCATGCTTTCACACTTTTTTCAATAAAGAAGGAATCTGAGTTATTTCAATATCAATGAGATATTGTTATAGCTGTTTTTAATATTTTCAATTCGTTTTTTATTTTTGTATCTTCCATTTTAATTTTAATTTATTTTAGCTGCATACGGCCTCTTGACCTCTGACCTGGGCTCAGCTGGTTGGTCCCAGTAAGAGCGTTAGGCTCCATTAGTGTTCGGAGGTCAAAGGTCAACATGAGAACCCGTGAGGGTGAATCTCTGGAGTTTTGTCTGAGTGAAACAGACGGATCATGTAGAGTCCCAAGGTGCATTTACAACTCCCATAATGCATCCTGTCAGCAGCTGCAGGAGCCCGTTAGTGACACACTCAGAATCTCCATCATGTTCTGATCCATTGTCTTCACAGGACTCTTCAATCACAGCAAACTCGGGAGCTTCAGTTCCGCCGCGCGTCACGTCAACAACCGGAGAGCTGCTCGCTGCCGCTAAAGTCCAGCTGCCTCTCAACATGTGAGTCCAGATGATTTAATGCAGCGCTCCACACACTCCAGTACTGAAATATCCCAGGTGCGGTAAAATACACTTTATTTCAGTACACTTGGTACACCTCCATAAAGTGTTCTATTTCTGTTCTTAATATACTAAAAATTATTCTTTAGTACTTCTTAAGATAATCTTAAGAGCATCTAAGGTTACTCAACTGTGCTATTTTGGGACACCATGAATATGAAATATTATGTGAGCCTGGAGCTTAAGTCGCTGGGGTATATTTGTAGCAATAGCCAACAATACATTGTATGGGTCAAAATTATACATTTTTATTTTATGCCAAAAATCATTAGGATATTAAGTAAAGATCATGTTCCATGAAGATATTAAAGATGATTTTCTCAATATTTAGATTTTTTTGCACCCTCAGATTCCAGATTTTCAAATAGTTGTATCTCGGCCAAATATGATGCATAAATCTCAATTTAAAAAAATTGACCCTTATGACTGGTTTTGTGCTCCAGGGTCACAAATGTGATTTTAACACACTTTCTCTGTAAAACAAAAAGTATTTAGTACACTTGTAGTACAATTGAAACCATCTTTCATACACTTTTAAATATACTCATCATGCACAGAAACTATGCTTATTAATTATTTAAAATATAAGATTCATATATAATTAATATACACAAAATGTATTTATAATGTATTGCCCACGTGTTTTATAGATTAAATAATTAATTTCAAATGTATTGTAATTATGTCAACGTTCCCTATGATACTTAACTACGTTTATGGTGTCTTTAAATAGTACAGTCAAGTACACTATTACTGTGTCATTAGTGGCACTTTCTTCTACAGTAAAAATATAGCACTTCAAGTACTTTATGCTAAAAATGCTAAAAGTGTTAAATTGTGAATGTTGGTACACATCTAAACACATATAAAGTAATAATCCAATCATGTCAATCATGTGCATTTATAGCAGCCTAAGCACAGTAACCTATAGGGTTTTACATTAGTAATACATTTCTACTGTATTTGTCATGAAAATCCAAATAGAACTTAGTGATACTATATAGAAAAATCCACAAAAATTTGATCGTAGCACACTTTTAAGCAATGCAATTATAAAACACTGACTACACTTAAAATCAGTTTAAGTGTTAATGCTAATTAGTGTATTGATATTAAGTGTACTTAAGTGGCACAGTTGGAAAAATTTACTTATAACTATTACATTACTAATATATTTTAAATAAAATTAATTCAAATTTAAACTTAGGATAACTATATAAAAGTGTACTAACAATGAACTAATTTTTAAATCATTCAAAGCACACTTTTAAGAAATATACTAATACAACTCCTGTATATTTTTGCGGTAGTATACTTTATTTCAATGCACTAAAAATCGAGTGTGAATGTGAGTGTGAGGTGTGTGTGTGTGTGTGTGTGTGTGTGTGTAGGGACATTTGGTCCTCACAATGTAGCATAAACAAGAACACACTCTCTCTCTCTCACACACACACACACACACACACACACACACACACAAACACACTCTCACACACACACACACACACACACACACTCAAACTCACACCCACACACACACTCACATACTCACACTCAAACACACACACACTCAAACACACACACACTCAAACACACACAGACTCTCAAACACACACACACACTCACACTCAAACACACACAGACTCTCAAACACACTCACACTCAAACACACACAGACTCTCAAACACACTCACACACTCACACTCACACACACACACACTCACACTCACACTCACACACACACAAAAGCAGTGTTAAGTCGCTGGGGTATATTTGTAGCAATAGCCAACAATACATTGTATGGGTCAAAATTATAGATTTTTCTTTTATGTCAAAAATCATTAGGATATTAAGTGAAGATCATGTTCCATGAAGATATTTTGTAAATTTCCTACCGTAAATATATCAAAACTTAATTTTTGATTAGTAATATGCATTGCTAAGAACTTCATTTGAACAACTTTAAAGATGATTTTCTCAATATTTAGATTTTTTTGCACCCTCAGATTCCAGATTTTCAAATAGTTGTATCTCGGCCAAATATGATGCATAAATCTCAATTTAAAAAAATTGACCCTTATGACTGGTTTTGTGCTCCAGGGTCACAAATGTGATTTTAACACACTTTCTCTGTAAAACAAAAAGTATTTAGTACACTTGTAGTACAATTGAAACCATCTTTCATACACTTTTAAATATACTCATCATGCACAGAAACTATGCTTATTAATTATTTAAAATATAAGATTCATATATAATTAATATACACAAAATGTATTTATAATGTATTGCCCACGTGTTTTATAGATTAAATAATTAATTTCAAATGTATTGTAATTATGTCAACGTTCCCTATGATACTTAACTACGTTTATGGTGTCTTTAAATAGTACAGTCAAGTACACTATTACTGTGTCATTAGTGGCACTTTCTTCTACAGTAAAAATATAGCACTTCAAGTACTTTATGCTAAAAGTATACTTACTGTTAAATTGTGAATGTTGGTACACATCTAAACACATATAAAGTAATAATCCAATCATGTGCTATTAGTGCATTTATAGCAGCCTAAGCACAGTAACCTATAGGGTTTTACATTAGTAATACATTTCTACTGTATTTGTCATGAAAATCCAAATAGAACTTAGTGATACTATATAGAAAAATCCACAAAAATTTGATCGTAGCACACTTTTAAGCAATGCAATTATAAAACACTGACTACACTTAAAATCAGTTTAAGTGTTAATGCTAATTAGTGTATTGATATTAAGTGTACTTAAGTGGCACAGTTGGAAAAATTTACTTATAACTATTACATTACTAATATATTTTAAATAAAATTAATTCAAATTTAAACTTAGGATAACTATATAAAAGTGTACTAACAATGAACTAATTTTTAAATCATTCAAAGCACACTTTTAAGAAATATACTAATACAACTCCTGTATATTTTTGCGGTAGTATACTTTATTTCAATGCACTAAAAATCGAGTGTGAATGTGAGTGTGAGGTGTGTGTGTGTGTGTGTGTGTGTGTGTGTAGGGACATTTGGTCCTCACAATGTAGCATAAACAAGAACACACTCTCTCTCTCTCACACACACACACACACACACACACACACACACACAAACACACTCTCACACACACACACACACACACACACACTCAAACTCACACCCACACACACACTCACATACTCACACTCAAACACACACACACTCAAACACACACACACTCAAACACACACAGACTCTCAAACACACACACACACTCACACTCAAACACACACAGACTCTCAAACACACTCACACTCAAACACACACAGACTCTCAAACACACTCACACACTCACACTCACACACACACACACTCACACTCACACTCACACACA